CAAGCCCTACGGGCCTTAAACATTGTTTGGGTTGGGCTTGGGCCGACCCAACCACTTAAATCCAATCCATGGGCTTAAATCAATGGGCTAAAGTTGGATCGGACTTGAATTAGCCCATATAATAAATTATTTTTAATAATTAAAAATATTTTTTAAATATTTATCAATCAATGTTCTTGAGTTTTAGAATTTGTGTTTTTATTTTATGCTTTTGAACTACTTTTTTTACTTTTTAAAAAGTTATCAATAAATTTTATTATATCATATTTTTACAACTTAATTTATTTTGATTTTTAAAGAAATAAATTGTATTACCCTATTAATATAATTTTTTTTAGAGGAATGAGAATGACAAAAAAGAATGATTCTAAAATACTAATTATTTATTTTGACCTTAGGTCGGGGCTAGGATCGGGTCTGGACTGGGCTAGGGGTGAGCATCGGTCGGTCAGGGTCAGTTTTTCACCAATCCCGCCGTTGAAAACCGATCTAGTCGGTTCGGCTGCGTATGGAGAAGTTAGAGATGAGAGCGAGAGCCGATGTCGGAATGAGGGGACTGTGAATGACTGTTAAGTGTGAGGTCGTGAGTGGGCTTTTGTGCGAAATAAAAAAGGAAAAGAACTTGGATCTTTAAAATCATCGATTTAGAATATGGGAAGAAGAAGATGAAGGAGGAGATGGTGTATGAGAAGAGAAGAAAAGAACAAAGAAGAAGAGAGAAGAAAATGAAAACGTTAGAAGGGAAAGGGGGAGAAAAGCAAAATATTTGATAATGATAATTAATTAAAAAAACAAAGCATACAAACCACCTTAAAACCAACGGCCATTAAATGCGGCGCTGGTTTTCAATTTCCTTGGCCAGCGGCCATTTAATGATGCTATAGACTGCATTTAATGCAGTCTGCCACTATTTTTTTTAAATAATAGGAAATGATCGGTCGGTCGGTTGGAATTTACTTTTCCAACCAAACCGACTGACTAAAATTCGGTTTTTCATTTTAGAAAATCAATTCTGACTGAAACTTTTATCAAACCGACCGACCAATGTCGATTCGGTTGAATCGATTTTTCGGTGTTTTTTGCTCACTCTTAGACTGAGCTTGAGTCGGCATTTGGGCTTTGAGCCTGGTGATGGGGCTGAATCTCATCACGTTTCACCTATTTGTATATAGCAACCTCTTCTGAAACTAAAAGAACATAAAGTTTGCGAAATAAGATAGGCTGAGATATGATTCGCATAGTGGTAAAGAAGGTATTAAGACAAGAGGGAAGATCATTCAATCCATAGATAATAAGATCTTCATCATCGATTTACCACATGAACATTTGATAGTTTGTGTTTGATCTCCTTAATGTGCTAAACATACTAATCAATAGATTCACTAGGTTTCTTGATAATTGCCTGCAAATCAGACTTAAGGTTCACAACATTAGTCGGGAATTTGAAGAACAATGTTGCACTAATGTATCCTAGACTTGTCATGAGGTTGAACAACCAACTACATATGCACGGGCTAGAGGGGAGGGAGTAGCGTTGATCAGCGTCATAAGAACGCGATCTTTAGCAATCCAATCTTGAACACAAAGAATGACTTGAGAAGAAGAGGAACTCTCATCATATGAAACCACAGTCACAATATTGGAAGAAGACAAAGCGAAATCTACAAACTTAGTAGGTTTCAGATAGATCCATTAATGAAACCTTAAAGATTTAAGGATGAAGATTAACTGGAATTTCCATAGTACAAAATTCGTCGAATCAAGTCGAATGGAAACTAAGTTGCAGATGTTGGACAAGAAAAAAATTGAAGAACAAAGATCTCTTGTTTGCAAAGTACAGTCGGCCATGTAAAGAAGAGAATTGTAACAACCGAAAATATATATATATATATATATATATATATATATATATATATTTTTATATGTTGTTTTCTTTTATTTTCTTAAAAATGAACCTTTTTGTTTTAAAAATTATTTTTAAAAGATAATTTGTTTTTAGAATTAAAAAAAATAGAAAGGATTTTATCAAATCTTTATCTTTTTATGTTAGCTTTTTTAAAAAAGGTTTCATCAGTGTTTGTTCTAAAAGCCGTTAAACCTAGTTTTCTCTCCAGAGAAAAAAGAAAAAAAAGAAAAAAAGAAAAATTTTGATATTTTCTCTCAAGATTGGTAAGTATTCTTCCCTATTGTTTTTGTTTTCTTTTTCTTGATCTGTAGTTCTTTAATTCAGTTTACTGTGAAAAGTTTTGAAGTCTTTATTTTTAGAATAAAAGATTAAGAACTTTTTGCCCTAGAAAATTTCCATAATTTTTTATTTGAATCTTGTTGTTTATGAGTATGTTTTTGGGCTATTTTGAGACTCTTTTTGCATATAAAGTTTACCTATTTGAATCCCATAAACTATAACTTATTGTTTTAGTTTTTACATGAAAAATTGTATGTTTTTACCAAGTTCTAAAGATTTCCATACAGTTTTCATATCTAATTTTTCTATAAAAATTAGTAAATTGTTAATTGTTTTGTGGAAAATTTGTAGAAGTGTTATGTTATAAAATAGAAAATTTTTCAAATTTAAAATCCCCAAATTTTCAATTATTTAGAAGGTTTTAAGCTTGTTTTGTTGAGAAACATTTTGTAAATTTAGCGCGTATTGATAAGTATCGATTTTTGGATTGTTAAAGTTATTTTTTTTTAATTTTGAGGCTTCTTAACNCGTATTGATAAGTATCGATTCTTGAAATTTTAAAGTTGTTATTTTTTAATTTTGAGGTTTCTAAATCATCTGGTTTTGTAGTCCTAAATCCATATTTTCCTAATTGTGTTTACATGAAAGTGTTATGATTTGGAAAATTGGGTAGATAAGATTTGCTTAGTAATTGGTTGAATTTTAAATCTATAGGTCGGATTTAAGGATTGATTTTGGATATTGATTGTTTCTAGGTCTCTAACAAAGTTGACAACTACCCGATGAAGAAATTAGTTAAATTTGTAGGATTTCCAAAAGAGGTAAGTGAATTGCCATAACCCTTCGAAAAGTGTTATAAGTGATTTGTCGTATCCCTTTTGAAAGTTAAATAATTTAGTTGAAGATTTATTATGGTTTCGATAAATATTTTGGTAATTGATATTATGTTTATTTGTAAAATATTTGAAGCATGTTTTATATGAATTGATAAAATTTTGTTTGAAGTTAATTAAATGTTTGAAATTGATCTTTGGCTGATTTATAAAATATTTGAAATTATGTTTTGTATGATTTGATAAAGTTTGTTAGAAATTATTTAAATCTTTTGAACTTATTTCATATTGAAAGTATATATTTGTTTTGCATTATTTATTTGAAATATATTTTTGATTAATTTGATAGGGCTATCCGATATGTCATTTTTGTGTTGGAGGGATGTGTTGCTTATTTAGGTAGTAGCCTAATTTGGAATTGATGAATTTCTGTTCTGGCTTATTTGAAATATATTTTGTAGTTTGACATTTCTTGGGAATAAAGATTCATGTGAACAGTCACTCGCATGACCTCACACTTGAGTAACGGTTCTGTTTGTTCTGGTCGATATTATTTCGGCAACTCTGTTCTGGTCGATATTAATTCGACAACTCTGATTAAAGCTTCTGATTGATTGGTGTCACCGACGAGTAACCACATATATGTTCTGTAGACTACCAAAATAATGCAACCTTCCACTATAATTTTGAAAGTATGAATGAATGTAAGGTTGTTTTAAATGTTTGAATGATTTAGCTTATTTGAAAGTTTGAAAGTTATACTAAATGTTCTAGAAGGACTTTTAAAAGTTTTGATCTGTTTGCATTTTTGTTACAAATGTTTTGAAAGGAAAAAATGAATTTCAATGTTTGATATGGAAATTGTTTATTGAGTATTTTTGTACTCTTTTCTAAATATTTTCAGATGAAGGTTCAAGTGATTGTTGCCATGGTAAGGAAGAAGGGGGGAACAAGCACACTTGGAAAGCGCTGTACAACTAGATAGTGATTGAGGAATAACGTTCTGGCATGATGAGTTGGAAATATTTAGTCTTTTTCATTTTTTTTAAATTACGAGAACTTAGTATGGTTCCTCTGGTTGTTCTTTGATTTGGTTTTAGTATAGGTTTCCATTCTAAATTATGAGAACTTAGTTAGTTCTACTAGTTATTCTTTGGCTTTATTATAGTATAAGTTCATGTTTCAAAATTGGACTTGTCCTTATCTTTTGTCATAATATCAAATTTAATAAAGAAAATTTTCCTTTGATATAGTATTTATTAGTTTACGCTTCCGCATTATTGTTAGAATAACCATATTAGAAAATAAGGATTGTTGCAAGAATAGCACAAAATAGGCACAGAGAAGAAAGGACAAGATGCATGGGCCAAGGTGGAGATCATAATCTGAGATGTGAGTCAAAGAAAGGCCAGATACCATGTGATAATCTTTCACAATAATGAAAGAGCTAAAGATAGATTATATATATAATCACTAACCATGTAACTAAAAAGAATAAACAAATTGATCATCTAATAACACGTAATGTGAAATCTTTTATAGAATAATTAGGTGAAATTACAACAACCTTCAACATAGTCGATTGTGAATCAGTACTTGTTTCTAGCCGTGATTTCATTATTATTATCATTAAATGTCAAATTTGTTGTAATATCAATTAATTATTTGTTTCCAAAAGTTTCCACATCAAATCTTTGGCACGTCAACTTTTTGTTTAAAATATTAAAGGATATTTGGTCATAAGGTATTTTTAAAATGTTCATTAAAGGACATAGAGGTATTTTTGAAATAGAGGGGAAAGTTTGAGGAATTTTTTTTAATATAAATATATTTTTAATTTAACCTTAAAAATATTTAAGCCGGTCAGGTCACGGGTTTGTAAGCCGGTCGGTTAAAATAAACCGGACCGGGTTCACATAAAGCTAAAAGCCTAAAAGTACTCTCGAAATCTCGGTTGTGAAAATCAAAATCCACAGCTGCTGAGCCCTTTCTCTCTCTTATCTTCCTCCAAAACTCAACTCTCCTGGCCCTCGTCATTCCCTCTTTTACTTACCCGCCAAAAATCCCTCCAATTAACGTCTCAATATTTCCAAATTCCTTCCCCTCTCCCCTCTCATGGCCGAACCGATGCAGGAGGTGGTTGTCGATGCGGAACCAACTGAACCCACCGTGACCCACTCCGGCGACAAGAGGCCAATTGGGTACGAGGGACACGACGGGGTTGTTGCTGCAGAGCCGCAGTTGAGCAAGAAGCCGCGGAATGGCCAGGAACTTGGTCGGAATCTCAGACGGGTTGCGGAGATTGTGTTGGTCATGTCCACGATGACGGCGGTGCGCGGCGGGAAGAAGCCGAGTGATGCCGAGGTCGAGTTGATGGCTGAGGCCAGGGCTAAGCTGGCTCAGATTTGTGAAGGATTGGCGCCGAAAGACATTATGGGAAGGGAAGGTATTAGCTCTGTGATTGAAGATTTGGGGCTGAATGAGAAGGCTAAGGATCACAAGTTAGGGTTTCGCGGTCCCAGGTTGACAATAGCGGAGAAATTGGCGATGGCTAAGAAGAAGGTATGTCACTATATTGTACATTTTTCTGGCTCATTGAGATTGTTTGTTGTTTTGTAACGATTGCTACCTGGGTTTGAATTTTATGTTCTTTTATTATCTGTTGAATGTCGAGTGTTTGTGCTGGCTGTTACCCATCTTTAGTTGATAAGGAATTATGAAAACTGAAGCTAATTAATTGTTGGAAGTTTAGATTTTGTACTTGAAGAATCACAATGACTAAGCAAGATTAGCAAATAGAACTTCGATTTGTGTAAAAGTGTAAAGTAGACTGTAGATTAGTTACAAAAATGCTGTGTTAGTACTTCAATTAGAAGTAATATAAACAACCATTTTGAAACATTAAGTATTTTCCTTTTAGCATATTTGGAAACTCTATTGTTTCTTTCCTTCCAAAATCTCCAAATGCCCGATATGATGGCATCCTCTCAAAGGATTCTTGCTCGTCATTTGAGGTTGTGTCCATCCGAGTTTTGTTCCACAATATCTTTTACTGATAGTGGTAGGCTCCAAGAGATGCTGAATGTGTTAATAATGTTGTTCCAAAGAGTGTTTTTGTGTTTACACTTTGTGAAGAAATAGATAATTTGTTTCTTCCCCATGCTCTTTTTTGTAAGTTAAGGTCTTCTTATTGCTTCATGTATAATTCAATGCTTAAATTGTCATGTTAAATAATTTTATTATTCGATCCCTAATTTTCTTTTTTTTTTCTCATGACATCTAAATAGTTGCCTATAATTTAATGTGTAAATTATGTTGCTGTAATGAATTGAAACATGGAATTTTATGATGCAGATTCTCTTTTAGATTTTTCCTTTAATTCTAGAATTGTACCTTGCAACCAGCCTAATTGTAGATTTAATATTTATTAACATTTCAATGATAGAACTATTTTCTAGTTTGACTATTAATTTTGTAATGGCCAAGAGTGGTGTAATACCAATGAGGAAATCTTATTAATCATAGCATGAATGTTAAACAAGAGAGGGAAGCACCTTTTATAAGGCTACCGATCCTGAAAGAAGCTTAAATTAACTTACTAAAAGCTTTAACAACCTAACTAACCACTAACTAACTTGAAACTATAATAAATAAAACAGAACATACAAAATAAGTAACCGAATATTACATCAAAGAGGGTACTCTTTCCAAGCTCTCTCCCCAAATCAAATAATATTATGCTATTTCCTAGAGCCCCTCCCTTTTTACCCTCCCCTTTCCCTTCTCTCTCCCTTGACTTGCTCTTCGATCTGCTCTAGTAACCCCCATCCTTCTAATCCTTTCACTCTTGTTTTTAATGGGGTGGAACTAATCCAAACATACCATCTCTATGGATAGGAATCCTTCTCTGTCTAGCTTGACGAACAATATAGAGGAAGTTGAGTTGAGTTAGGATTATTGAGTACAGGTATAAGTATAATAGCGTTTTTTCCTTCTCCCTCCAGTGGGGCTCCTACGCTTGGTTTGGTTGACGATTTCAAGCTTTTGATTGGCTCTCTTTTCACCAACAAGTTGTTTAAATAACACAGAAATTATATTACTCTCTTTGGGCTGAAAATATATCAAATAAAAGAGGTTATTTCACCAACAGTAAGATGGATTTAAATGGGACAAAACATAGTCTTGGTACCCTCTGCAAAAGAACAAAATGGTTGCATATCCTTCCTCTACCTAATCAATGGCTTTTCTTGCAAAGGATGTTTGCATGCAAATGTTTCCCTTTCCACCACTAACTATAAAGATCAACTTTTGAGAAATTTAAAACCCATTAATGGTAAAGGACCTAGCATTAATGATCCTCCTCCACCAACTTGGAAGCCACCATTAATGGCCCCTCGATTACCCCACCTATCAACGGTAGTGGACCCTCCTTTGGTGGTCGATGATATTATGAGGGACTCCTCTATTGTGGTTTAGAAAAATTCTCCATGATGATTTGTGCAAAATCCTAAAAGCCTTATAAGAGAACGTAAGTGATTCCTATGTGGAACTCTCTATGATCATGGTTTTCCCCTCCCCTCCTCTAGGAGGAATTCAATGAGCGGTTAGCTTTTGGGACCCCCCCGGTGGATAAAATGAGAGCTACGCTAGATAAATGGAGAAACTTTTGGCTTTTCAAGGGGTAGGCTCACTTTGGCCCAAGTTGTTCTCAATAGCCTTTCAGTGATATTTCTTGATCCTTAAGGCTCCTAATGCTGTCATTTTGGCGATGAAAAAGCTCATGAGGGACTTTATTTGGACTGGAGGATCTTACAAGCAAGGAAGCCATCTAGTAAATTGGAAATTTGACTTCCATGCCCAAGTAACATGGAGGTATTAGAGTTGGTTCTTTGAAGTAGAAGAATTGTGCTTTTCTAAAATGGCTTTGGAGGTTCGCCCATGAAGAAAATGGATTATGGCACAAAATCATTGTGGCCATTTATGGCCTTCAGCCTCACGGTTGGTTGACAAAAGCAGCAAAATAGTTGTCCATAGGTAGGTCGTGGACTGATATAGACAAAAGTAGACAAGGATTTTTGAATTTTGTGACTTCTAAGGTTTCAAATGGGAGATGGGTGAAATTCTAGGAAGACCCGGGGGTTGATTGTTCTTCCTTCTCTACTCTCTGTTGTGGTAGCAAGAGAGGCCCGACGGTGACAAGTGGAAAGGTTGTGACTGAGCATTCATAGTCACATGGGAGTCGGGAAAAGAGGTCAAATTGCAAGGCCATACGCTTGTTTGGCTTCTCGCGGAGTATAGCTCATGTCCAAACATCTGATTGGGGAACGACTTTAGAGGTAAGGGAAAGCCTACCAGGCCGTATGCCCATGGGTGCAGGATTCTTCAAAAAGTGCGGGTTGACTCAGAGACTTGGGACCTTGGCTTAGCAACGAATGAAGGGGTATGTTATCTTCCAGAAAGGGTAGGACTGTTACTGATTGTTGGGTCGAAGCTTCCCATACTTGGGACTTAGGTTTGAGAAGAAATTTGTTTGTAAGGGAGATCTCCAGGTGGGTCTTTCTAACAGAGAAGCTGGATTTGATGCAAATAGGGCAAGGAAAAGACAAATTGTGGTGGAAAGTAGATAAAAATTGGCACTTACTCGGCAAAATCACCCTTTTCCCTCCCGATCAGTCATTCAGGCAAGTTAAAAACCCTAAACTTCATTTTGAATTTTGAACTCCCTAAGAAAATCAAATTCTTTTTATAGTCTCACTCTTCTATAGAAGTGTGAATGCCGCCAATAGACTCCAAAAGAGATTACCTCATTGGGCTCTATCTCCCTCAGTTTGTTGCCTCTGTAATAGGGAAGATGAAACGGTTGACCACATTTTTTTGCATAGCCCTTTTGCATATGCTGCTTGGTCTTTTGTGTGTTATGATTTGGGTTTTTTGCTTTGCCTCCCTCTTAAAATAGATGATTTGTTCTTAGAGAATTATGGTGGCAACCATGAGAAGTGTTAAAGCAAAGTTTAGAGTCTTAGCCCATGAAATTTGTGAAGGTATATGGATCAAAAGAATACTTAGAGAATTGAAATTTCCTTAGAGACACCTATATAGATTTATTGTGGCAGTAAGATTGCCATAGCTATAGCTCATTATCCAATTCTATATGACCGAACAAAACATATTGAGGTTAAAATATATTTTATTAAAGAGAAGATTGATGTAGGAGTATTATGTATTTCTTATCTTTCAACAGTAGAGCAAATTGCTAATGTACCAACTAATAGAAGAAGAAATTCGACAAACTAATCTAGAAGCTAACTATGGAATACATCTTTAAACCTGAGGTGGAGTTTGAAATTTCCTAACATTTATAAATATTTGTGTCTAAATATAAGTTTTCAATATTGAGTCTTTATTGTCTTTATTGTTTCCTTATGTTGTAGTGGGTCTCTCTCCTATACAAGAAAATCTGATATAGATTGCACATATTTGAATATATTAGAATAATTTGTCTCCTAAAATGAAGAGAAAGTTCTTGGCCAAGCACCTATGTGGTCCTTCCCCTTTGTGGAAACCACCGTTCAGCATCGTTTGGCAGTCTGTCATTGAAAAATTGTACATGGGTCTACAAAATTGGAATCATTCTTGTGTCTCAAAAGAGGTAGACTCGTGCTTATACAAGCAACTCTTGCTAATCTCCTTATCTACTTATCTCTTTTCCTTATGCCTAACAAATTTGCACCTCCTCTGGAGAGGATCTTTTGGAAATTCCTTTGATGGACGACAAGGAAAAAGGTGAGCCTCACCTCCTAAAATGGGACAAAGTGGAATGTCATTTCATGGAAGGGGGCTTGGGAATCATCAACATAAATCTGAGAAATAAAGCTCTGCTTGCTTAATTGGACTGGCGGTTTCACTCGGAAAAGGGAGTTCTTTGTAAGAAAATGATTGCATCAAAGTATGGTACCAAGCACTTTAGTCTCAAATCTGGTGGATTATCCATCTCATCGGCTAAGGTCCATAGAAGTATATTCTCCGACAAGACCACCTTATTTTCTCTAATATTTATAAGGTTGGAAATGGTGGCCCTCATAGCCCAATTGGCAAGGACTTGGGGTCTCTTGGTGTTTAGAGGTCTCAAGTTTGAATCTTTCGGTGAGCTTAATACCAAAAATCCTTGATAATTCCTGGGTCTGAGTCTTGAGTTGGGCGTAGGCACCCTTGAGTATAGGGGAGCAAAGCTCCGACTCCCAGTTATCAAAAGAGAAAGAAAAAAGGTCGGAAATGGTGAAGCAGCTTATTTTTTGAATGACCATTGGTTAGGACAGGGTCCAATATGTTTCTCATTTCCCCTTCTATTTTCTTTATCCAACAAAAAAGAAGCCTCCGTTATCGAGTTATGGGATGACCAATTGGGTGCTTGGAATGGGCAGCATTGTCTGCGCTACTATCTTCCCATCACCCTTTTTTGAGGTCAGACATTTGGCATTGGATCCTATAAAATAGTGACATTTTTACAACCAAATCCGTAACTCACAGTCTTGCATCTGGGGTAGCTACCAACAGTGTGAATCTTTTAAACTTTATATGGAAGTCCTCCTTCCCTAAAAAGATAAATTTTTTTATATGGGAGCTCAGCCATTCTTGCCTCAATACCTACGACGGATTGCAGAGAAGATGCCCAAGGTGGACAATTTCCCCAAATTGATGTGTTTTATGCAAAGCTGCGGGCAAATCTCAAGACCATATTTTTCTGGGATGCACTTTCTCCTACCAGATCTGGAGGCTTTTTCTTTCAGCTTTTAGTTGGTCGATGGTCACTCCAAGCAACACTGCCCAATGGCTTTCGCAAATCCTCGCAGACCATCCTTTCAAGAAAGTAAAGAAGCCTCTTCACCTCAATAGAATGTTCATATAGTCCTTATGGAATGAGAGAAATTCCAGAATTATTCAGAACAAGGAAATCTCTTCAGTGCATTTATATGAGCACATTCTGATTTTGGCATTATCTTGGTGTAAAATGTTTCCCCTTTCTGCAATTATAGTATGACTATTCTTACATACAATTGAGTTTTTTGTAACTTCGTTGGATAAGTTTGGCACCCCTTTTGTATAATTTCATACCATTAATGAAACTGTTTTGTTTCCTATCTGAAAAAAAAAAACAAGCAATGTGTGAGCAATGATTTATCCACCAGCTTTTAGTTAGATAGATAGACGGGTTGGATATGATCCTCTTCTTTCCAAGATGTTACCAAGGCTTTTCAGTCTCTAACTGGAAAGATGCATCCATAAAAGAGTCTTTGAACTTCTGCATTCAAACGTGGGATCTTGATTTTAGTGAACTTCACAAGTAATGGTTCCATCTCACAAACTGCCTTGACAAATGCACTGGATTCCAGAACATTTGTGATCCTTTATCGTTTGATCCTTCTTCACGATTTTGACAAACAAATTTAACCCTACCTACAGAGAAATTTGATCCTAAAAGGGCTAAAATCTTCCTGTAGGAACTCAGTCATGGAGCATGAATACCCATGGTTTGATGTATCATGTACAAGAGGCAGAGTCCCAAGGTTACATTTTCCTCAGCTGTCCTTTATGCGTACAGATGTTGTAGGTTTTTACTCCTATCCAATTGGCATGTGGCCCCTCCTTTAATAGAAAGCCTTCTTGATTATGTCATGACTGGGTTATTCTTTCACCAAGAAAAAGAATATCTTCCATCTTCAATTTATTACCACTTATATTTGGAATCTGTAGCTTAAAAGTAACAACGTAATTTCTAACACCTTAGAGAAGACTTAGGACACTTTTGTAGATACTTTCTTTTGTGGCTCTCTCTTGGTGTAAATTATACAATAGCTATAGTTTAAATATTCTTTGTGCTAATTGGAAGAGCTTTTTTTTGTAATCATTCTTTGGCTTGGAGTTTACCTTTCTTCCCCTCCTGTAATTTCATCATCTATGAAATTGTTTGGTTTCTTATTAAAAATAAAAAAGAAAAAAAATCTGGTAATGCCCAAGAACGTGAATGATCTTTTAAATTTCTATACTTGCTTTCTCTTCTAGATGGAAGATTCCAAGAAATATATCCCACCGTCAGCTTATGGATCTCATCCAACCCAAACAAACTTCACTCCATCAGTTGAGAGCCGTGGGGCATTGCCTACTGTACGGATGTTTCCTTCAGATAAATCAAGTCATGTACCGACTTCTGTGGGAGGCACTGCAGCTGCTCTGCCTTCAGGTCATGTTTCTGTCACTGGTTCTTCATCTATACAGGTTCAAGCACAACTACCAAGCAATGAAGTCAGAGCTCATATTATTTCAAGTGGATTTCCTATTAGTCATCAAGGAAGGGATTCTTCCCCGTTCCTGCATGGCGTTGAAAGACCGCTAAATGGGACATATGGATCTCAAATGCAAGGTAAAGCTTTTTATCTGCTTTTGTATAATGATGGAAGAGTAGTTTTTTTTAATCTTTGGATTTTTCCTAATGATGCATATGAGGCTATTTGCTTCTTTTGTATTTTCATCTCCTTGACAAAAGTTCAGTTCCTTGTAAAAGAAAATATAAATTATTTCGACTTGCGAGTCTGATATTTTCCCAAAAAGACTAATTTAAATGTGGTTGGGCAGACTCTAAAAGTGATTTGGTGGATTGTCGAGAGAGCAAGAGTCATAGATTTCTCTAATTGGTCTATTTTCTACATTAAAGATGTAAATTATTTTTAATTTCCTATCTGTAAATATTTTTTTATCAATCCGTTGTCCATTGATCAGAAAAATGATAGAAAGAATTTTCTGAATTGATAATTTTTTAATTGAACACTTAGTAAAGTTCTTGAACTTTGATGGTCTATTATATCTTTGAACTTTAAAAAGTTTCAATTATGTTCTTAAACTTTCAATTTTGGTTCTTATGAGTCTCTATCATTAACAGTCTTCTTTAAATGTTGTTGCGGCACGCTAATTGGACTAGCAAGTAATGATTTGACACATCATGGCAATTGGCCAATTAGATAAAAAATGGAGGATGGGCCAACAAATTCAGCTTAAAATCTGCTCTGTTCTGTTTTTTTGGACCATCAAATTTTCAGCATGGTCGTCCTTGTTTTAACTCAATTTGCCTATACCTTGTGTAGTTGTGTTACAGCATTTCAAATTATAACTTTCTAGTCAAATTAGTTTGTCACATCAATATTTAAGTAATTGTGTTATAGTGGGACTTCACTGAATCAAAATCAAAACTTTTTGTAGTTCAAAGACTAAATAGACATTACTATTAAAGTTTAGAGACATTTATAATTTAACCTTACTTTTAGACAATCGATTTTCTGCAATGCAAGATGTATTCCAATGATATACTTCAAGCTAAAATCTATTTTCTAAGATCTGACATCACCACAAGGTAACTGCTTGTGAGTGTAACTGCACGCTCATGTCATTTTTGGTTGAACTCTAGGTTGCTACCTTGCATTAGGTGCTTTCAGTATTTTGATTATATTTCATGACTTGTGAGTGATGATAAGACATGATCAGGTGGCTAGTTAAATTAAAGTGTTTGCACACAAGTAGTTTTTATGTCTTTGGATATATTATGAAGTATTAAATTTTGTACTTCCTTCTCAGTTAATTCTTCAGTAAATCACCCTCTGGCGAGTGCTCCAACTTGGTCTGCTCAAACTCAGTCTGCCTTGTCAGCAAAAGGTGGGCCAGAGCACAAGTCGCTGAATCATTCTGCTGTTAGTGTTCAGATAACCACAGACTCGAGCACATTAAGATCGTCTTCCCAAGCAGCGAGGAACCAGAGCTCTAGACCTTCAATTTCTCAAACTGTGACAGGGAGTATGGCTGGTCTGCAGCCGCATTTACAGAGCATGAACTTTGTGCAAGGATCTTCACTTTCTAATAACCACAATGAAATTGTCAAAATTATTCAGAAGCTGTTACAACCACAGCTTCCAGATCATCCTACCTGGAATCCTCCTTCAAGAGATTACATGAACAAGGCTGTGACTTGCCAAACTTGTCAAATTACCATCAATGAGATTGATAGTGTACTTATATGTGATGCTTGTGAGAAAGGATTTCACTTGAAATGTGTACAGTCACCTAATCAGAGAGCAATTCCTAGAGGCGAATGGCACTGCCCAAGATGTTTAACTATAAGCCATGGGAAGCCTTTACCTCCAAAATATGGGCGTGTCATGAGGAGTAACCCCCCACCAAAATTATCTGTCAACACCATTGGAACTCAGCCATCAGAGAAGAGATCAGGAACCATAGAACAAAAGGCTAGTGCTAGTCAGCTGAACTTGGTTTCTAATGGAGGTTCAGATTTGCAAAGTCCCCAGCATGCTGACCATGGAAGCAATACCAGTGATAATGAAACATCTGGTACCAAGACTCCAGATGTGGAAGAAATTCATGGAAATCATTTTCTACCAATTAGGAAAGACTTAGATGAGAAACCAGCCTCTTCAACTTCCCTGAATACCCCAGCCAAATCCTTGGGGCCGGTTTGTGACCCCTCTTCTGCTGAATTATCAAGTGAAAGATCTGTTCAGCAGATTAAAAGTTCTCAATCACCAAAAGGTGAAGATGGATCCTCTGAATCAAAAGCAGAGGCTCCAGAAGATCCCCAAACAGTGGCTGACAATGCTAGTGACCCTAAACCCCCAGATGTTTCTGAAATTGCTGATCAGAGAATGGTTTCTAATGGTCCAGAGGAACCCTACTCAACAAGTGCTCATGGCACTTCGAATGTGAAGAAAGATGATCATGAAATTCTGCAGGCAACTAATGTTGAAACTTTTGAAGCTAGCATCATAAATAGAGAAATTCTGCAGTCTGGGACTTCTTCAGATGACTTGCGTGATATTGAATGGATTGGAAAGCCACGTATTTTAGATGGGAAGGCATTTTACGACTCCTGTTGCATTGATGGTGTTACATATAAAGTTGAAGAATGTGCTCTTTTTCATTCCAACAATGGGAAATTGATGCCCTTTAGGCTTCAGGCAAGCAAATTATCAAACTATGTTTGACAATTTTATATAGACAATTTAAGTTGATGATTTGTATGGTTTTTTTTTAACATTTTCTGACAACTGCATCCTATTTTGAAGTAATATGGGGTAGCTTTTACTCTTAATTCAGGCCATGTTCCATGATTACAATAAAGGGTCGAACTGGGCTGTTCTTAAGAAGTGTTACTTTCATGAGGATTTGCCGAAGGAAGTTGTCCACCTCCCCCCAAGCTCCCCAGAACACATTGAGGTACTCTTTTTCTCTTCTTTTT